AGCTTTTGCCTGTTACCCCCCCCCCCATTGGGTTTCTTTTTCTTATTGATCACTTTGTTGTACATATATAATCAAAATATTTTATCTCACTCTGTGGCATTTCCATTAATGTTCTTAATAAATTCCTTTTGTACAAAAGACGTGTTTATGTTACTGAACTCCATTTTATAAATATTTTACGTTTATTGTTTTTTGTATCCTCTTTAAAAAATAAATGACTACCCTAAATTTATAAGGATATACTTTTATGATATAATCTAAAACCTTTTATTTACCTTTCATATTTAGATCTACAATCTTCCTGGTATTAATATTTGTATATTGTGGGAAGTAGCGATAATAGTTGAATATATATGTATATCACCTGTTTTCCTAACACACTTTTGAGAATGATGAGGACACTATTAATAATTTTGCCAGGACAACGGGTATAAACCAGTTGAGTCTAGGAAAACTAGGAAGTGTGTCTCCAGACACATGGCTATTCAATTGACTTACTCATTTCATTAGCCTCTCTTAAATTGATCTAATCTACCGTTGAATCCTTCTATTGAGTTCTTAATTTGTTACTTTCATAGATAGTTTTAAATTTTTTATTGGAATTCTTGTTATAGATTTCTATTCTCTGTAAAAATTTTCCCTTTGTAGTCTATATACTTTAACATACTAATCTCCATATCTGACAACTCCAATATCTGGTACTTATGTGTAACTATTTTATTAAAAAATCATTTGGTTTTGATTTCTGCTAAGCCTTATAATTGAATCCTAATCATTATGTATGAAAACATTTGTAAAGGTTCCAGATGATATTTTCTTTATCCAGAGACTAGTTACTTTAGCTTCTGGCAGGCAGTCAGAATAGGGGCAATTCATACAGAGATTGTAACTATTTGCTCTTGGGTTTTAGGCTTGGGGAAGGCTGATTTCTTTTTGGTATACATTTATTCCTAGCATGTAGCTTTTAAGGTCTCAAAAGAAAGGCTACTGCATTTACCTGGTCTTACAGCTTACCCAAAAGCCCATTACTATCGAGTTGATTCCGACTCATAACGATCCTATAGGACAGAGTAGAATTACCCTATAGGGTTTCCAAGGAAAGTTGGTGGATTAGAAGTGCAGACCTGGTTACCGGCTGAGCTCTTAGCCACTGCACCACCAGCGCTCCTCCAGCCTAAGTGGGTCCGAATTTTCCATTTTTGTTTCTCCAGATTTGTGAGACTGATGAAAGTGCTTCTCAGCTTCTTAGCATTTTCAGAGGGCTTTCTGTTTCATCTTCTCAGCTTAGAAGCTGCTGCTCGCAACTCAGCAATGCCTCAGTGGGAAGATAAGCTCTGATTTTTTACTTTAATTATCTATGTTTCTCTTTTTTCTGGGATTTAGACCTTCAAGTCCTACCTGTCTTGGTAGCCCTGAACTTGTTATTCTGTCCTTTGAGGCCCAGAAGACTGCTGAAATCTCTTCTCTGTTTCCTGGCCTTACAGATGCTCCCTTCTTGAATTTTTTTGCATTTAGACCCTGTGTCTTTTACAACTTGGCACAGGCCTGAAGGGAAAAGCATCACAGAATGTCAGCCTCACCTCAATGATTTCTCAGTCTCAGGAAGATCTTAGCCCCTTGTGTTTTGGCTCATTTAATTATCTCCAATGGCTGAAATAAGACTTTAAAAAATATTTCATCCTGATTTTTAAGTTGGCATTGACAGGGGGGTTGGCCAGATGCAAGTTAGTCCAGCAATCAGAAGCAAAACTTCTCTGTTATCTATTAGGTGCAATATTTCCCTAAATCTCAAATTCTATATAATACTGTGTCATCCAGATTTTTACGTCTCATCCTGTTCTATTTCTTGAGATACGGGATTATTATTCACCATTTTACATGGTAGTGTGACTTTGATATCTAATGGAAATCTCCAACTTAAAATAGTAAGAAGAAAATCCTTGATGTATACTTCCAAATTTATTTCTCCCCATGTTTTCCCCTTATCATTATACGGTACAATTACCCACATAGATATTAAAGCTAAGCCAATTGCTTTCTTGTTTTCCATCACACCCAATATTCAGTACATTAACAATTCCTATTTGATCTACTTCCTACATACCCCATATATATCCTCTTCTCTTCATATTTACTGCTAAAAATCTAATTAAAATCACCATCATCTCTTGCCTGGTCTACTTCCCTTAACTTGTCTCCCTGCTTTAACTCTGGTACTTAGTCTAAATCCTTCTCCATAAAGTAGTCAAGTTATCTTTTGAAACATATAAGCCACATCATTTTATGCTTCATTAAAAAAAAAAAAAAGTTCATTAGCTTCTCAGGAATTAGAATAAAATTCATACTCCTTGCAAGGGCCCCTGTGATCCTAGCTGATCCAACTCTTGCCTCTGTCTCTAACATCATCATCTTCATAGTCATTACATTCTAGCCATATTTCCCTTCCTCCAGTCATTTGAAACTATTGTTTTTGCCCAGGCTGCCTACTCTGTCTGGAATGCTTTATCCCAGACCATCACATGGCTTACTCTTTGTCATTTTAGCTCTCAATTCAAACCTCTTCTATGTATAGGCCCACTCGGAATCACATCACTCTATTTTTCACTTTCAAGTTACTTATTTCTGAATTATTTTTTTGTGTGTAATTATTTATTAAGTAATTCGATTCTCAAACTAGATCCTAAGATCATTAAATGCAGGTATCTTTTCTGATTTTTGTTATTAATGATGCCGTATCCAGTGCCTGGATATAAACATTCAGTAAATAGTTGCTCAATGATTGAATGAGTGAATAAACGCTTGTTGCAACTGTTTCCTTACCTGTGGTTCTGGTTCTCTACAGCAATATGTGAACGTTCCCTTTTTTGCCAGTATAGACCACTTTAAACATGTGATAGGAAGTGAGTTGTTACTTCCAGGACAAAATAAAACAGATTTCGATTTTATGCAGGAACTTGGAAGCCATGACCAGCTCTTCAAATACCATTCTACACTTCTCTTTCTGGAATGGGTACTTCTCATAATATTTTGTCATTTATCTGTGCAATCTAATACAATCATCAAGTACCACAAAGACTATCAACAAGGAGATCACTGGCTGCCGATCAGTGGCCGCTTTCTTCAGAGTTGACTTTCTGTGTGAACAAACACACTCACACACCAACACTCTTTTCTTTGGACTGATCTTGTATAGAGAATCATTATTCCACAGCAGTAAATTTTTGCGTTGACAGTTAACTCACTTATTAAACAATTACTAAGTCAATTAGCACAGCTTGCTGACTCAAGGCGTAATGAAATTAATTTGTATCTAAAAAATAACTATCATAAAAAAGTCATTCACTTATCATTTAAATGTATTATGAGACATTTAAAAATAGACATTGCACAAATAAATGAGTGTTGCATCTTATATAATCATGTATTCTGTAGTAGTTATACATACTACAGTAGAGCTTTGTATAATATGTTATGAGACTTTGAGTAAGAAGCAATTCATTCTTGGTGTGGGTATGAGTCAAGGAGACAGTAGAAATGATGTTTGATTGAAATGTGAACACAACAACAACAAAAAAGCAATTTTTATTTAATTTATCCCATTTAGTAAGTACCAACTAATATAATCTTAATATCAAACCAAAAAAATAGAAACTTTTAATGAAATACCATATCAATATGTGTGCCCATATATGTATGTATATCTACCACCCACCTGTCAGTTTGTCATACTGTCATGGCTTGTATGCTGCTGTGATGCTGGAAGCTATGCTACCAGTATTTTTTTTAAAAAACCCATAATGGACAAGTTCAGCCAAGTTTCCAGACTAAGACAGACTAAGAAGAAAGGCCTGGGTATCTACTTCTGAAAATTAGCCAGTGAAAACCATATTGATTACAACAGAACATTTTCCAATTCACTTGCTTTGGATACATCATGAGGAGGATCAATTGCTAGAGGAAGACATCATATCTGGTTAGATAGCAAGCCAGAGAGAGTGAGGGAGATCCTCAGTGAGACGGATTAACACAATATCCACAATGATGGACTCAAACATGAGGAGGATGGTGAGGATGATGCAGGACCAGGAAACATTTTGTTCTGTTATACATAAGGTCATCATCAGTCAGAGTTGACTTGACAGCATCTATCTATCTGTCTGTCTGCCTGTCTGTCTATCATCTATCTATCTACATATACATATATATGGTTTAAATGGAGCTATTCATGTTGAATCAGAGAAGATGAGCTCAGCTTCTGAGCGGTCTCTCTTTTACTCCGCCTTGTGACCCTTGAGGCACCTCCACAGATTATAGGTCGCCATGAAATAGAGTTTAAGAAACACTGTGCCAGATGGACCTGTGTTAGCAGATAAAGAATTGTTTTCTTCATTTTGAATGAAGAATATAAATATGTATTTATAAGTATAACTGAAAAATTTCAATACTTAAAGCTTCAGAGAAGACATTATTTTGGTTCTACTGTTAAGTAATCTGGAAGAGTATCTTCATACCTGATTGACATGGTGATATTAATCTAGCTCCTCTTTGGACACTTCCCATATGCCTAGAATTTTTGTGCAAGTAACTCAACGTGATCAGTTTCCACAAAGCAAATCCTTACAGCAATAGAGAGAGAACGAGAGGAAGAAAGAGGGAAATAGAGAAAGAGAAAGGGGAAGGGAGAGAATAGTGCCTTCTAATTTGGAATTTTGGGACATCAATTTTGGTGTTCTCCTCTCTTGGTAATTTAACAGGAAAAATGGATATTATTAAACATGGCATATTATGTAGGGCAGTAAAAAGTTTCTGCCCAAGGTGCCCTCCTACATCGAAAATCGTACAATTTAATGGTTCCCATAAGTTTAAAAATAATTGAAAATGTATTTAATCTGTACATACCTCGTCTTGAGGGAGTTGAGAACTAATAAGTTGGTATAGTTATCTGAGGAAGTGACACTAGAAGAAGCGATTTCACATGTATGCGTTTCGTTTTTTTTCAGTTGTACTCGTTTTGCTAGTGATCCTATGATCACATCTTCAGCAAAATATGACACGGCATTTGGAACTAAAACAGTGAGCGTCCAGGAAATATTGGACATCTACAAACTGAAGATCACTTTCCTTAAACTTTATGAGAGTTTGGATTATTCAACGTTATCATAAAATCAGCTATTAATAAGACGCACAAGGTCATTTTGTTACTTTTTTTCTTCAAAACATAACAACAAGAAATTAAGTTGCACTTATGAGTATGTATTAATGCTATTACAATGGATACATAATGCCTTGGAAATAGTTATTATATAAAAAATGCTTATAAGATGAATAAATGAAACTTGAGGATGACTCCTTCCTCACTATAAGCTGTGTTAAACCATTAAGACCAGAGCTACTGTCCTTTTCTGAATGTTTTCGGACTTGGATGTTGTCCAGAGCTCATCTGTCATTCCTAGATGTGCCTTGGGCTTTATCTGCTCATCTGCCAAGTAAAGACCTGCATCTCTGAGCCTCAGTCTAGTATGATGTGTTTATTGATCACACAACACCAATGCCTTCAAGTCAACACTTGATTCCTGACGGCTTCCTAATGTTACTAATGGAATTCTGGCTTCTTCCCGTATTTCATCATATAACTTTGCCTTTTAACGTGTCTTCTTTTCCATCTTGAAAACATAATCTCTGCTGAATTATCCTATCTACAGTTAATTCATTGCAAGATCTCTGATTACCAACTTTGAGTTATCTCTTATATTTGTCCTTCTATGTCCATTCCTGTTGCTTTTTTTCATGGTCTGGTTCCTTCTTCGTATTTGCACTATAATTTCAGCACAATTCTTTGTAATAAACTCTACTATTCTCATGTTCTTTGTTCTTATCTCTAAGTGACATGGCATCACTTCCCAAATATCATCAAAGTTCCTTAGATGGCCTGTCAAGGCTATCGTTGATTCAGCCACACTTACTTACCCAAATACACCTTTTTATTTTTTTTTTAATAGTGCTTTACAGCTCAGGTTAATTTCTCATACAAAACTTTATACATACATTGTATTGTGACTTAGTTGCAATCCCCACTGTGTGACAGCACACTCCCCCTTTCCTCCCCGGGTTCCCTGTGTCCATTCAACCAGTTCCTGTCTCTTCCTACCTTCTCATCCTGCCTCTGGACAAGTGCCACCCATTTTGTCTCGTGTATCTGATTGAACTAAGAAGGACACTCCTCTTGAGTATTATTTTTTGTTTTATAGTCCTGTCTAATCTTTGTCTGAAGAGTGGGCTTCAGGAATGGTTTTGGTTCTGGGTTAACAAAGCATCCGTAAGCCATAGTTTTGGGGGTTTCTCCAGTCTCTGTCAGAGCGTTAAGTCTGGTCTTTTTACGTGAACTTAAGTTCTTCTCTGCATTTTTCTCTCACTCCGTCCAGGGCTCTCTGTTGTGTTGCCTGTCAGGGCGGTCATTGGTGGTAGCTGGGCACATCCAGTTCTTCTGGTCTCAGGCTGGTGGAGTATTTAGTTTATGTGGACCTTTTGTCTCCTGGGCTAATATTAACCTTGTGTTCTTGGTGTTCTTCATTCTCCGTTGCTCCAAGTGGGTTGGGACAAATTGATACATCTTAGATGGTCACTTGAAAGCTTTCAAGACCCCAGATACCACTCACCAAAATGAAAATATGCCCTGACTTTTTCTCTTTCCTTTTGTTCCAGACCAGAGCCCTTCCTTACTTTTATTTGTGAATGTACTTAGCTCATTTCTACCTCCATAGTTTGGGGAGTTATTTCAGATACTAACTCACTCCTATTTTTTTTTTTATTCAGTGTCTGCCTCTTGTCAAGGATTTTTGCTTTTGTTTGTTTGCTTGCTTTTTCTTGTAACACATTCCCCGGCTATTCTGGTCTTTGCTAGTTCTGGTCCTGAGCTATTCAGTGTTCAAGAGAATGTATTCAGTGTCTCATAGTTACTTGCATATTGTGAAGAATTGGGGTATAAATATCAACATAAGCATATATATGATATGGACCTGGTCATCTATTCTTGAATATCACTATGACATGTGCCCAAAGGTAAACTTAGCAACAAGGAGGAGGAATAGAGCAGTCACTCTCTGTGCCACTTCTTCCAGCTTTACCTCATATGTCATCTTGTGTTAAGTTTCTGGAAGGAAGGGCGCACTATGTATGCCTTTCATTTTCCTTAAAGCACCTGGCACATTGTAGTAACATAGGTCTCAATAAAGGAGTGCTGAATTGGATTATGTTTGATGCCTGGTTTAATTATCAACCTTAAAATTACATTGTAAATGGTAACCAGGATGTTAATATATCTGTGACCCTTTGTTAAGGAATTTAAACAGGGAACTAACAAGAGCACTAATCCTCAAGGAGATTAGATTTGTCTCTGAGATGAAATTTCACGCCTCCCCTTGAGCATGAGTGTGCCTTACAAATCAAACAATTTAACACCTGCACAGGCTAAAAGGAGCGGTAAAACTGCCCATCTGATTTTCTCATCTGTAGCCATTCTCTCTGCATCCCAACCCACATTTAGCTCAGCCAGCTCAGTCATAGGAGATGAGGCTATGCAAACTTTGCCTGGAGCAGAAATGTTGACAAAGTTTATAATGGTTCAAAGAATTTCCTTTTTGAGGCATAAATGTTAAAAATAACAAGAAGCACGAGCTATTAACAAAGGAATACATTCAAAAATGGTTTCTATTACTTAATGGATGTAAAAAAAACTCATTTAGTTGGCATCTATAAGTCACGTTTAGACTTATGTACCAACAAGATTCTTGATACCCCTAACTCTTTGTTTATCCTTCAGAGGTTTTAGCATTATATCAGACTATACAACTATATTGAGTTACACCGTATAAACACACACACACTAGTATTAAATTATATATTTTATTATATTGACAAGGAACCCTGCTGGTGCAGTGGTTAAGCTCTCAGCTGCTAACCAAAAGCTCGGCATTTTGAACACACCAGCGGCTGGGCAGGAGAAAGATGTGTATAGTCTGCTTTCATAAAGATTTACAGCCTTGGAGATGCTATGGAGCAGTTCTACTCAGTCCTATAGGATTGCTTTGAGTTGGAATTGATGGGATGGCAGTGGTTTCGCTTTGGGTTTATTGTACGGACATTATATATCCTCAGTTTTTGCTAGGAGGTAAGTCTTCTGAGGGCTTCCATTTTGTCTAATTCACTGTTGTATGTCAGAGTTTAAAACAATCCATGGCATACAATAGATAATAAATGTTTCTGAAATGAAAGAATGGATATTTTGCATGGCTTTATAGAGGAAACAGTGACGCTATAAAGGAGTAAATGTGGACTCTTTTTACTCAGTAATTAGATCTGGTGAAAATCAGAGTTGTTTTAAATTCAGCGTGCTTATTTGCTGTTTTTCAAATGTTTTTTATTTGCAAAACCTTTAATGAGTTTGGCCTGAAGGAATTTTCCTCCAATCCATATGTTTCTTATTCCCTTAGAATTAGCTCTCACCAGAACTATTTTAATTATTTATTTGAGCTCCAAGGAGGCTTTGAGGGTTCATTAAGGAACTCTTTCTGTCTGACTTTTTATAATAGGAAGTCTCATGTTTCTCAACCCTTCGTAAACTAAATCCTCAAAAATCTATAACCAGTGTGAGATTCATCGTTACGCTGGTCTCCACTCCTGTTTTTAACGTCACTGGAGCCAAACATTTCCTTGTATTTGTTAAGTGAACAAACTCTGTAAGTCTTACCTTCTGCATTTCCAGTGTGGATATTGCAACAAGTCATAATGGTTTAGTGTCTCACAATTTACCCATAGCATTTCTCTTTGTAAAGATATACCTATTAATCTTGCAAATGCCCTTTCCCTTCAGTTGTTCTACGGAGATGTTGTAAGTTTGTCTTTGAAATTACAGTTAAGGTATATGTGAGTTGGGGAGAAAGAGGAGGAGAAGGGAGGAAAAAAATCAAATGATAGCAGATACAGCATTTCTCTTTCCCTCTCCAAGAAAACACATCTGTTGCCATCACGCAGATTCTGACTCCTAGTGACCCCACAGCACAGCGCAGGACGGCCCCGTGGGGTTTCCAAGGAGCAGCTAGTGGATTTGAACTGCTGAGTTTTTGGTTAGCAGCTGAGTCTTAACCACCGCACCACCAGGGCACCCTCTTTCCCCTACCTTCTTTAAATTCAACATGTCACTAATAAATACATTTTATTGGTATCATGAGTATATTTAAAATTCAGAAATTATCTTGGTTATTTTCAGTAAAACGAAGATATTTGATCCAATCAAGTAAAGGATCAAAATTAACTAGATCAATACACACACCTCTCCATTAGAAAGTTTAACTACTGAATTTTTATGTATGCATTTCATTTTTAAAAGATTCATTATATCTTCTATGTGGCTCTAGGGGAGGGTGTAGGCTTAATTTTTCGGTGAATTTAAATCCTGTGCTCTGGTGTGCTGTGAATGTTTATGAATTAGGAACATTTAAGCAATACCTTCAATTAATTTAAGGCTAAAAACAGGGGATTAGCCTTTGTCTTTTTTCTTCTTTTTAGGCCTCAATTACATTATAGAATATTCTCTACAATATTTTTAAATACAATGAAGTTTCATTTCTCTGGGATCATTTAGACAGCTGGATAAAATAGATTATTTCTATGCAAACCATTTCATTTCAATATTTCCATATTTTCATCTAAAACTACATATAAAATAGGGTATACTAAATGCATTAAATAGATAATTTGATAAGATAAATAAAATAGCAAACCAAACCAAAGCCAAACTCGTTTCTGTTGAGTTGATTCCGACTCATAACAACCCTACAGGAGAGAGTAGACTGTCCCCATAGGGTTTCTGAGGAGCGGCTGGTGGATTCAAACAGCTGATCTTTTGGTTAGCTACTGAGCTTCTAACCACTTTGCCACTAAGGCTCCAAAATAGCAAAAGAGTGCCTAAATACCTATAGCAGACATGTAACCATATAAAGGAACTCCCATTTTGAAGCCTTTTTTTTTTTTTAAGTAAAAGAATCTCTGAAACCTGAAGGTCTTCACTATGTTGTCAAATTTTTAATGATAGTTTGGAAATATATACATATTTTTAATCTTCTCCTGTAATTATTAAACGTTAGTCATGTTGGGATTTTTGTAACACATGCAAACAAATCAAAAGAGATACAAGCATAATAAACTTTTTGCTTTCACAATGTGTGTGTGCTTTCAGTCTGTTTAATGCCACGTGGTTCTGAATGTAGAAACATCATCTAATGCATTGTGTCAAAAATAACAGGTTAATGCTTGGATTCAACTTGAAAGCTCCTTTTATAAATAAAAATGTTTTTAATATAATGTGTTCTCCTGGAAACTTGAGAGCATAAAATAAATTTTCCATATGCAAGTAAAATTGTGAGGGAGCTAAGGTTCCCAAATAAATGCTCTATGGACATTTGATGCTCTGAAAATGCTGTATTAAAGCATGGTGCCATATTAAAAACAAAAAAGCAAAGGAAAATGTAAAACTTTTTTATTTTAATATGTGCTATCACTGCGCATGTTTTTAAAAATCAACCTTTTCCAACTTTAACTAAAAATTATTTTGCACCAACAGGTTCCAGAAGCTTTTTTTTTTTTTTGTTAGGGGAAAGTGAAGAACAATACTGAGCAATTTATTTTGGCATCAACCCTGATTGCAACTGTAATGTAAGTAACAAACTCTACCTAAAGTACAATGAAATTAGAAAAACTGCCTTGGGAACACTGTAACCGGGTTTTACATGCTTTGAAGTCTGGAATTATAGGGGTCTTGTTTTCCGAGAGAGATGCATTAATGTTAGCAAGGATTTAAGTATGTTTTAATTACTCCTTTTGATGCAGAAGAGGTTGTACAGAATCATAATCATTACATATCTGAAAAAGGTCATCTCCAGAGGCTTGCAATCCCTGAATTATTGGATTTGGCTATTGTAATTTGGAGTGTGTGTGTGTGTGTGTGTGTGTGTGTGTGTGTGTGTTGCTTATAAGCAAGATGACTAAATACTAAATTGTAATAGAAAAGTGGGCTTCAGTAATTTTTATATAGTATGTGTATGCACTGCTCATGCCATGTTAAAAACTTGAAATATCATGAAACCACCTATTTATAGCATTTTCTAATTGAAAGAAACCTTACAGATAATCTAGTCCTATCTACTCATTTTCTCCATGGAAACAGGCTCAAACTGGATGGCTATCTTAACTAATTAATATATCTTTATTTTTATTTGGAGCTCTTAAATTCTTTCACTATCAATGATTCAAGGATTTTTTGCATTGGCTTAAAATATATGAAACTATCAATTGATTCCGTTTTTACTTGAACAGGCACTTCATTAGAAAAAAAGTATCAAAATATTTTAAATGTGGATAAAATCCGTGCAAAGTAATGCAATTTTTATTGGCACTAAAATAATGTTTAATAAAAACGTACTGGCATATTTTTAAAGGAAAGAATTATGCAGAAAAACATATGCTTTGTTAAATCCAGTCGACTATTTCTAAGTAGCTGTTGAATGGGTCAAGAAAGAAATACCAACCAGACTGTGTACAGTCAAAGCTATTTTCAGGTAGAAAATCCTGGCAGGTTGATGCAACACATATGCGGGCTCTCTGTGTTGTCTCTACAGATAAAGGAGACTGTCAAGGTTTAGCAAAGCCATGTGATTTCTGCTTCCAAAGAGCTATTAGCCATTATTGCTCTGAAATAGAAATTTTATTAATAATAAATAGGCAATAGTTACTGGATGCTTATTACGTGCCAGATATTACTCTAAGCTCTTTTACATATACTAACTCACTAGTAAAACAACCCTTTGGGGGAAGTATTCTGATATTTTGTGATTAACTCAGCATGTGGTTGAAAAGAATTTTAAACTCTGCTTTACTTCCACATCAAATAGAAACTAATACAAATGTCAGAGAGCACTCCTACTAAGTTTCAAAAAAGTACTACGACATGGTGTGAAACTCCTATTTCAATCGTCTTTCAGATTTTCACAGAAACTGAGATACTGAGATGCACTATAGATAGATTTTATTTTTTCCGCTGAGGCTATAGTCTTCTAGAGAGAGTTCTAACAAGAGTTAAACCCCTCACAAAAGAATAGGAAGGCTTATTTTTTTATCTTGATATCCTTAAATTTCTATTTTAAACTACATTGATGGCTACTCCTGAAAATTGGAAACTGAAATGGTTTAAATGAGAAATGTAAAATCACCCAGTATTATTAAAGAGCTAAATTCCTAAATATTTGAAAAATTTACTTTATAAATACATGCCTGTTTAGTACAGTACCGAGAACATTGTGATGATTCTAGGGCAAATCGTTAGGCATTCAACTACTAGCGGAAAGGCTGGTAGTTTGAATCCACCCAGAGGCACCTTGGAAGACAGGCGGGGCAATCTGCTTCTGAAAGGACACAGCCTTGAAAACCCTATGGAGGACAGTTCTACTTTGGCACACATGGGGTCATGGGGTTGCCATGAGTCAGAATTCACTTGACAGCAACTAACAACAACAAAGAAATATATAGGTGTATGTATATATATATATGTGTGTATATGTATGTGGGTAATATACACATATATTATACATATATATATATACACACACACACACATATATATATATATATATACACACACACATATATATATCTACACACATATATATATCCTTTCAGGTATGAGTGGATCCTTCATCCTAAAACCTGTAAATAAAATTTTGGGATATGAATATTACTTTCACATCAACCAAAAAAAAAAAAAAACACACACACACATATATATATATATATATACACACACACATATATATATCTACACACATATATATATCCTTTCAGGTATGAGTGGATCCTTCAT